CCCTCCATTTGTCACAGATGTACCAGTTTGTGATTTTTTTTGTGTATTAATCTAATTTAATGAAAATTAACAGAGAGTCAATTGATCATAAATTTGCCAATTTGGAGTTTTTGATGATTAAAAAATTATTTTTGGTAAATTTGTTACAGGTGTACCAGATTGGAGTTTTTTGTGGTTAAAAAGTTAGTTTGGGGTAAATTTGTCACAAATGTATCAGTTTGAGATTTTTCGTAATATTAACCCTTTTGGTTATGGAAAGGACACTTAGATTGCCCAAGTTACCTATGGAGGACAGGATAGGACTCGACAACTTGTTAATGTCAAGGAAAAGTTCAGATAGATTGGTCAAGTTCCCGTGAGAAAGAGGAGAAGAAGCCCATGAGAAAGAGGGCAAAATGATTTCCTTCTTTTCAGAAACGAAAATCATTTTCCCCGATTTTAGAAGGGTATTTTACTTTGACAAGAAAATATTTTCTTTGATCACTCATTCTCCACGTCCAAACACCGGCCACGAAACAAACATAGCCTTACTCTCTGCTTTCTCTGCCTTTATTGCCTCGGAACTATTTTGAATTCTTGCCCAACCGAGTACACCACTATTCGGCCAATTGCGCTCTCACTCTTCTATTTTGAATTTCCTAATTCATTTTTATCCATTCAATCTAAGAGCTCCCAATCTTACGTGCGCTAGTCTGTGATACATTATAAAGAGGCCACATAATCAGCATGTGCATATCATTATTGACACCTAATTTTTGCTTATCCGTTTAAGGTTTAATTGCATGAAAATTATGGATTAATTTTTAACCCCTAAACAAAAATAATTTTCATTAAAGAGCATAGCATATAGACATTAGGAGCATTTGCACGAATAATATTAAAATTTATTTGTAAAAAAAAAATAAACGGGCCGGGTTGGACCCTACCCCCCTGAACCTGGGCCCCCTCCTTCTATTCTTTTCACCTGGCCCAACTCAGCCTCCTTCTTTCCTTCTCTCTCTCCCCTTTCAGCCACGGCCCGGCCCTCCCTCCTTCCCTTTCTTCTCAGCCCAGCCCCAACGCACCTTCTTCTCCCTCGCGCGAACGACAAAACAGAAGGACGCTCTCCACGGGGAGGGTGATAGTCGCGATTTCAGAAGAGAAAGAAGCATGGCGCAGCGCTGCATCCTGGTAACACAAGAACCCAGGAGATCATGCAGCCGTTTTAGGAAAGAAATGGATCTGATCCAGTCCCAAACAGGAGGACCCGGCTGCTGGCGTATATAGAGATAGAGAAGGCGCGCTTGAGCTGGCAATGGCGTCCTTGAGCTGGAAATGGAAGGGGAAGGCGGCTGGCGTGGTTGACTAGCAAAAGCCGTCTGGAAGGGGACGAGAGAGAGGAAACGGGGCGAGAGTTCTTAAAGAACAGAGAGAGAGAGAGAGGGAGAGAGGGGGTGCACCGAGAGAGAACAGAGAGCAAGAGGAGGGACCAAGAGTGAGGCCGCGAGTGAGAAGGCGTGCTCCGGTAACTCGGCCGTGCCTGAGCCCCGCGGCCGACGACGTCCGCCGACGTTCCCCTTTCTCCGCGCCCAAAACCTACGGTAGGTCTTGGTTTTGCCTTTTGTTTTGATTTCTCTCTGGTCTTGTTGATTACCCGAGGATCTCTGCTTGGAGGCGACCGGACGTACTACGAATTATCGAGGTCGCCCATTCGCCATTATCGAGCCGGGTAGGGACCTCCGCGTTCAAACGCTCGCTCCGCAAATTTTTTTTTTCCAACTTGCCCTGTTTTGGCCGGACCGTAAAACCAAGGCTCGTTCCTTGTCTTGGGATTCATAGGCGTACTGAGTTTGGATCGGTTGATGTGGTTGTTTTTGCGTGTCTCGGGATGATTTTCTCTGGGTCTAGATCCGAGTCCGAGTTCGGAAAATGTTAAATTCCGTCTCCTTAACGTGCGCGCACACCACATGCTCGACCAAATGTTTGAACCAGACTCGCACAAGCTTGTCTCTGTACCATATGTACGAACTGACCACCAGGTGTTTGTAATAATGTCTGAATGAAGCTATGTTTTTGTTTAAGGAAAAGCTTTTGAACCAAAACACTTGGTCGCGCATTTCATTACTTAAATCACAACATTAGTCTTCGCTTCATCCATGTCGCATTCATTCTCTTGCAATTTGAGTCTATGTCCGTGTGCCTCGCATTCTCTCCTCTCTTTGTTGCCTATCATTATGGTCGTTAATGGCCGATTATGGAGAAATCATGGATCCGGTTTGTTGGACTATCAAAATGCACGTTGGTTTGTGATGCCTGAAGATGGTGTTGGGTTACGTAATTTTCTGAAGTGTGATAAAATGCTTTCATTGTTCCGCGTTTGTGCTCCTTTGCACTATGTTTGTATGTTGTGGCCGGATGGTCGCTATGACGAATGGAGGTGGCGGACGGCAGTGATGGACGATCCCGAGAGGAGGATAGTATTGGGGCGTGCAGTGATAGATAGCTTGAGAGTATGGTGGGGCATAGGTTATTCCATGGTTTAAAATTCTTAACCGATGATTCTCGGTTGATTCATCCGAGTTTCTAGAATTTTAGTTTATCCGTCAAGAGTGTTGCTCTCGGTTTGCAAGAGGAACCTCGGGCTTGAGCAAATCGGATCCGTGAACGGTGAAGGGCAAGAAAAGTAAATGGTTAGGTGGGCTTAAGTGGGGTCTAGTGGTTTTGGACTCGGTCTAGTTAAATGAATTTGGACCTCTGCGTTGGTGCCTTTTTTGGGGTTCAAATTGGCTTTGACGGATTTGGGCTGATTCGGGTGGTGATTTTTGGGCTTGTCTCCTGTTAGAAGCGGATCGGGCTCAAGTCAATGAGCCCACATCATATCTTAGCTTTTTCCTGTTTTTGTGACCTAGACCAGAAGGTCTTCTTCGACCATATTTCGGACTAGGTCCCGGGATCCGGCCCGGGTCCTGGATTTTAGTTCCAAAAGAAAAATATCATTTTGGTTTCAATATGAAAAAATATATATTTTTTCAAAAAAATTATTAAAAAATTAATTAATTTTTAAAAAATTTTAAAAAAAACATTTTGAAGATCTCTTTTTAAATTAGGAAAAACCTGTCAAAATTTTGTCCGAAAAATTGAATAAGCCTTTAGGGCTTTTGATTGCCTTTTCTTTCCTAGAAATGATGCTAGTTTGTTGTTTGCACATCTCAATTTTGATTATTACTCGATTGCGCACTTTCTATGTATCGATTGTTCCTTCTCTTAGCTTGGTTAGAAATAGAACCTTAGGGCTCACTAATGGTAAGACTACTGCATGAACACGTTAGGTGGTGATTGAATAAGGTTAGGTACCGAAAGGGTACTAGTTGGTTAATTAGTGTAATCAAGTCTCCGTCTCCATTGAATCTCTGGTTCGTAGAAGAAAAGCAACTCTCACACGCTTTACCTGGGTGTCTAATCTACTCACCAAAAACTGATTAGTGACGACTCCTAAATGAAATTGATTTGCATGTTAACAACTTAAACTTAAGTCGCGAATTGATATGAGCTTGGGAAAGCTCGAGCTAAGTTTAACTTAGTAATCCATTAGCCAAACCCCTTAGGCGGCGAAGCCAGTTCGGGAAGGTCGCGACAATCATGACCTAAATGAAATGCGACTGCAAACTATGTAAATGATTTTTTTGTTTAGAATCAATCCTTAATTTTTATACAATTAATGATTACATGGTAAAACCAAAATTTATGTGTCAACACCAGCGACCTACACCGGCCCCTTCGGGATAGGTGGCAGCGCCCCGTAGGTAAGGTCCACCATTCTTTTTTTTCCAATGTTGTTTTTTAAAGTAAAATTTGATCTTTTTTTAGTTTTTTAATTTAATTTAAATAAGATTTGAAGAAGAAAATAAAAAAAAAATGCCACGTAGGAGAGAGAAATTAATTTTAACATGCAAAACGTCAGCATTTTCTATTAAACAAATTGACAATGTTAACGGAAATGACTTAATTGCACTAATTTGACAAATTTTGGTACTTGACTGCATTTTTTAAAATTTTAAACTTAATTGCACTATCTTTAAGGTCATTTTCTTCAGTCGTTTTCTTAAGTTTCAAAATTTTGAATCGAAATCTTTCGACAACTTATGTGGAGGGTTAGGCGTGTCAATATAAGGGAGCATCATCAAAATAAAGAATAAGAATCTTTACACGAGAACGGAATGTTTTGTCATACTTGAGTTACATGAATTGAGCTAATTGAAATCATTGGAGTGTCCCACGTGAACTCGTGCCACGAAACATACGGAGACAATTATAAAAATCCTCTATAAGGAGTCTCGAAATCTCGGTTGGTAACATACGAGGTGGAACTTACACCATTCAGGGTACGGACATGTCTACATCATCATTTTTTTCTTAAAAGCATGTCAAAAAATTCGGCAATTCTATAATAAAATCGTAAAATGATGCTCCGTGATTTTACATCAGTTGTATTATATATAAATAAGAAATGCTTACATGTTATAGTAGGACTATTTAAAGTACAAGATTCTATTCAAATATAATAATAGTTGAACTTTATCGCTCATTGATGTTATCTGACGACAAATCACAAGAATATTACATTCATTTTTGTAAGGGTGACATCGAATTATCATAGTTTGGGGCATATGAATGAATCTTGACATGTTACATCGTTAATTGACAAAAGAAAAGGCATAAAATGAGTTTAAATCCAAAGTTTTTTCACCTAAGTATAATACAACATGTGTTTTATACATGTATAATCCGGTTCACTCCCAAAAAAACGAGTGATTTTCCATAAGTTCACCAAATGTGCGTGGGATGGAAGTTTCAATGAAAATCACCAATGTACGTGTATTTTATATGAAAGTACGAGTGCTTTACTAACAGAAGAAGGAACAAATATGGTGTTCCATTGGCTGCTCTTATGTTTGAGCTTTGCTAAATTTACCTGGTTAACGTGAACATAACAGTGGATAAGTAAATGAAACACACAAAAATGATTGGATGAATGTGGAATTATATCTAGCGCATTTTTGCACATGAACTAAACTGATGTAGTACCTATCATCCTTGTAAGAGAAATAATATAGAGAACTTGCTACACGTGCTGCAACTAAAAGAAAATGTCAATAAGGGAAGCATCCGGGATCAACTAGCTCTTCCAATTTTATGTCCTCCAATGTGCCTATCATGATCGAACTACGTACCGACATTGCTTGAGACACTTGATGCATGCTTGGACGATGCTCTGGTTTTGCACTTAAGCACGAAAGTGCCATCTTTACAATGAAAGCCACTCGCCCTAGCACGTCACCTTCTGGGTGTGGAATTCTTTGATCTAATACTTGTTTTAGAAGCCAACGTGAAGCTGTTGAATTGCTTGATGATGATGAAGATGTGGATGTGAGAGACGATATCAGATCGCCCGGATGTCTTCCCATGATTATTTCCATTGTCACCACTCCAAAGCTATAAACATCACACTTCTCCTTCACCTCCATCGTGTATGCGAGCTCTACATAGGCAAAACAATGATTAATTTTTCTATTTCGTATTAGTGCTATCTTTTTTGGCCAAATTCTTAGTAATGCTATTTAATTGGTTGATCTTGTTGAAGAAACTAACTTACCTGGAGCTGCATATCCGAAGGTACCTGCAAAGGAAGTCCAATTGGATGAATAAGGTTTTAGAATCTTAGCCGTGCCAAAATCAGAGACGTGAGCTTCGTATTCCTCATCCAGTAATATGTTCTTGCTCGATACATCTCGATGGATTATATGAGGAGAGCATTCATGGTGCATGTAGGACAAAGCATAAGCCACGCCTTTAATAACATTCACTCTCTTATTCCAATCAAATGTTGTTATCCTCTCTTCATTGTTCAGTACATCCTTCAAGCTGCCAAGTTCAAAGAACTCGTACAATAAAAATGAATGATGAGAACTTGAGCAAAAGCCATAGAGCTTGATGATATTCCGATGCCGAATTCCGGTCAAAGCATGAATCTCCCTTTCAAATGCTTTTCGACTATCCATTTCAACGTCCACTGCTTCCTTAAGTTTCTTTACAGCAACAATCTCACCTGTATACAACTGGGCCTTGTAAACACTCCCATGACCTCCCACACCGATGCAATATTTGGCATCAAACTCCTCCGTGGCTTCAATAATGCTCTCATAAACCATTCTTCCATCGAAGCTCAAGACTGCCCAGAGGTTTTCATTACTTCCATCATTCGAACTGGCCTCTATTTTGTTAACTCTTCGGCATACAATACTTGAAGCTCCCACAACAAGAAGCAAAGAAAGTAGGCAACCAAAAGTAGGAATCAAAATAAGCAGCAACTTTTTGTTTTTGTTCTTGCCTTCAGACATTTTTTCTATACAAGGGTTGAGACCCGCAATAATTCCACATAATCCTTTGTTCCCTCTCACAACTTCAATTGTAGCATTACGAAAGGCTGGAATTTTTGGTAAAGGACCCTCTAACTCATTATAAGATATGTCGATGGATGTCAAGCTCACCATATCATCAAAGGTCGACACAATAGAACCCGAGAGTTGATTGTGTGAGAGATTGAGTATTTGCAGTCTTTGCAATAGCCCAAGTTGTTCAGGTATTTCTCCCATAAGCAAATTTTGACCCAGATCGAGAACTTCAAGAGATGGCAGATTGCCGATCTCTACAGGAATACTCTTTTCAAGATTATTCCTGCTGAAATTTAAGAATCGAAGGTTGGAGCACTCCTCAAGTTGTGTAGGAATTGAACCACTCAAGTTGTTGCCTGCAACGTTGAGTTCTTGCAGACAGGACAATGCTCCAAGTTCTTGAGGGATGTTGCCTTCAAGATGATTGCGGTCTAACGAAAGCTCTAGCAGCAACTTCAATTTTCCTAGGTCTTTAGGAATTTCCCCAACAATATCATTTGAAGAGAGGTCGAGTATGTGCAGCTGATTTATATTTCCAAGCTGAGGTGGTATGGTGCCAGAGATTTTATTGTTGGAGATTTTCAAGCCCGTCAAATTTCTACATTCACCCAATGTCGATGGTAGCTCACCGTAAAGTTCATTGTTGCTCAACTCAAGGTAATCCAAGTTGGGGTACACGCCAAGAGCATCGGTTATATTTCCCTTGAGCGAGTTGTTTTGGAGCCTAACTCTATACAAACTTGAACAACTTCTCAAGCTTCTTGGGATGGGTCCAGTGAAGTGATTGTTTGATGCACTGAAATTCACAAGAGCTTGGCCACTACATATTTCTTGTGGCAACTTGCCAACAAAGCCGTTATCAGATAACTTTAGTACTGTGAGGGACATGAGATTATTTATCTCGATGGGAACAAAGCCCCCCAGATTGTTCACATTTAGACAAAGTCGAGTAAGCTTGCTTAAGTTTCCAATCTCTTTCGGAATAAAGCCTGATAACTCATTTTGGTCGAGGTGAAGAACATTCAAATTGCTCAAGTTCCCTATTGATGATGGGATAGGACCGAAAAGTTTATTGTTGGAAAGGGTAAGAACATTTAGATTGCTCAAGTTACCTATAGAGGACGGAATAAGACCCGACAACTCATTGTTGAAAAGGGCAAGAATATTCAAATTGCTCAAGTTCCCTATGAATGATGGAATAGGACCTGTTAAATCATTGATTTGCAATTGGGAACATGCGAGGGATCTCATTCCTCCAATTTCCGAAGGTATGGGGCCAGAAAGTTGGTTGTTGTGGAGATAAAGAAATGCCAAATTACTTAGATTTCCTAAAGTTGTAGGGATGGATCCATTGAGATAATTGTTTGATAAATTAAGTTGACTTAGTGACCCCAACATTCCTATTTCCTTCGGAATGGGCCCAACAAGTTGATTACCGCTAAGTATTACCTTCCACAAGCTGGTCATGTTTCCAATGGAAGAAGGAATTGGACCGGTAAAACTATTACCCCAAAGATCAAGAACTCGTAAAGATCGCAACGACCAGAGTCGAGTTGGAATGTTTCCCGAAAGGTTATTTAAAGAACAGTTAATAAGAGTGAGCTTGGAAAGATCACCAATGCTCGGAGGGATGTTCCCGAAGAGCCGGTTGTTGGCAAGCTTAAGGGTGACCAAGTTGGGCAAATGGGGGAAATTGAGATAGTGAAGTGTACCGTGTATGGCAGAATTCGAAAGGTTCAAGCTGGAGACACTCCCGAAAGGATCACAACCGACTCCGTGCCACGAACAAGGGTTGCTTCCATTCCACGAAGGTAAAGTATAGCGACTCTGGTTGTCTAGCTTAGACTTCCATGTTAGGAGTGCCTCCACTTCCCCATTTCTCGTGGGGTTACTAGCACCAGGAAGGGCCACTAGAGAAGAGCATCGAGATGAAGCAAGACAAGGCATTTCTTGCATGAGCATGAGAAGGACACAAGCGAGGAACAGCATTGAGAACTGCTTTTGAGATGAGGCCATAACAGGTTGTGTAGGTTGTTTGGGCAGGCTTTTCTTTGTTTCAAGGCGCACATGTGTTGAAATGGACCGAGCACGACGGAGACGTACTTATAGAAGAAAATGGGGACCATCAACTCAACAACCAAGCCTATATAATCATACGGTGACATCCCCTCCTTATTGCGAAAGTCTTCAGTTCCTCTGAAAAGACTTGTTACATAACGCCAAATGTCTAATACGAATTGAAAGAAACCATGTTAGGTAATGTACGAGATTGTTACGGAAGCTAAGCAATCGAACAATAAATTTGACACAACAAGAAAATACAAGAAAATAAATCGGACACTAAATTTACGTGTTTCAGTCGTAGTGACCTACGTCCACGGGAAAAGCAGCACGGAATTCCACTATAAATCAAACGATACAACGAAGATTATAACCACACTCGAGTCACTCAAATATTCACAGTGTTTCTCAAGCCTCAATTACACTCACTCAAACACTCACAGTATTTCTCAAGTCCCAATTACACTTAATAATCCACGCAGTGTTTAGCCCTAATAATTCCTCACGAAATAATTTCTCAATCTCATGAAGGAATTATACACAAATCTTATCACAAGATTTAATCGCTACAAACCCCTTAACTCTTGAATGCAATTTGCCGAAGAATGACTTCACTGTACGAAGACCCGCACTGCCACAGCCACGGAACATCAAGCACTCACATTAGCGGTGCTTCAGAGAATCTTCTTGTGGCAACCATAACACACCCTCTGTTCCAACGAAAGAAAGGAAGAACGGCCCATATTTATTCGTGGGTCTACACGGTCAACCTTTTCCTCTTGGAACAGAAGTCCAACACGGAAAGGAAACTTTTGGAAAAATACACTTTCCATTCTTGACCTTGACATATATATATATAAAATCCAAGTTGGAAACTTTGGTGAGGAAGAATATTTTCTTTCTTTCTGCTTTTATATTCCAACGCCAAACGAGAATTCTATATTTCCGTGTTAAAACGTCCACATATAATCAATTTTGGACTTTCCTTTAATAAATCTTGGGTCGGTTTTCGTTCAACGAACTCAAATTCGAGATATATTTTAATAGAGATAATGCTTACACCTATAAATGGTCACCGTCTTGTCTAATCACTCGAAATACTCCCACGTGGATGGAGCCAAGCCCCACTTGCTTGGCTGGTCATTGAGAGAAAATTTCAAATTTATATATTATCAAGGTTGCAGGACTTGCATTTGGACAATTAGACTTTAATGTGGGAATTGAAAGGTGAAGTGTGAAATCAGGGAAGAAGAAATTGGAGTCTTCTTGTTGGTTTTTGCGTGGAGGATAATCTAGTCGACCTCAAAATAAGTCAAGTCTTTCTTCCGTGTCGTTCTGATCACGTAATTGGACTTATCAAATCAACAATCAACAACAAAGGGGAATATACTTTACTAGTCCAGAGAAGTCACATCGCAACTTGTTTTGTCAATTTGTAAAGACTTATTGGTCATTTCGGGGCAAAGAACTGGGCACTTAGTGATGGTCAACAAGCCGGCCCAAACTAAACTAATCCAACTGCTTCGCCTCTAAAAAAAGCACTATTTTGCAGGAAATAGTCAAGAAGGTTTAGCTCTGTGGACTCAAATCTTGTAATTTAGAGGCCATTCTCTCCGGTAGATGAAGCACGGCACATAAAAGACTTGGACGGATTGTCATGCATTTGCAACTTGACGTTAATGGAGGAACGGTCTGGTATTGGGATAGTGCATGAACTTCGAAGGGAAAAGTTGGAAGATTGCTTTTTCTATCAAATCTCTAAAAGAGAGGGAAATCTCTCCAACCAAATTGCTTTTGATTGATCCCACTTTCCAATTGAGTACTCTGCAATAAGTTGAATTTATTATCTTCTCGATGTCTTACATAGAATGCCAAGCTCGTTTGGATCGTTGATTACGTCTGCTCCCCAATGGGTATGACTGAAAAAAGATGATACATAGGGTGACCTTCACTGAAAGGCTATCCCACTGGTTTTTTTTTAATTATTTTGGTCGAAAGAAAATTATATTTATTCGAAGCATAGCAAAGCTTATAATACTACAAAACAAAGCCAAATCCAGAAAATAAGGAGGAACAACAGAGCACCGACAGAGTTAAATACACAATCGTTAAGCAAAATAATCGACAGCTAATCATTGGATCTCGTATTATCATCAGTGATGAGCACACGCCGAAAAAAAAATTTCCAATTACTACGGTGTTGCCAGTTGGCGGTGCACACCTAGGTTGGGCTTCCTCTACATCATTGTCATACGGAGAAAATCAAAACAAATTGAATAAACACGGATTTAACTTTTGGAAGAGCAAATTTTCGTAATTCAACAAGATGCCAGAGCTTTTGTGATCACCATTAAAACTAGAGGTAGAAAACCTACACATGGACAAAGCATGGAGTATCAAATCCCCAAAAATATTATTAAACTCCCAAATCTGAATCGAAAGAGAATAACTCCTAGATCTAGAAATAGATTAGGAGAAAATAGCTCCTAGATTTAGATAAGAAGATAAGAAAAAATTAGAAAGAACAAGAAAATCAACAAGAGAGAGAGAGAGAGAGAGGGGGGGGGGGAGGGTGAGACTAGCTCAAACCCTCCCCCATGACTGAAGGTTGAAGAAATAAAATGATTTCACTGAAAAGCATAAGCTGTTGATTCATGGTAAGAATGCAAATTGATAATTTTAAGAGCATGAGCTGTTGATTCAATAAAATGATTTCAATTGACTCGACATGGAAATTAATTGACTGGATGAGCAGTGCGTCGTAGAGTGGATATCATACAAAAATAAGAGTATTTGTATCCATTCATCGAAAAAAATGTGCCCATGGTAAAGTCTTAAATTTATTGACCGTCATATGATATAAACAATTTTTTTATGTGATTTACCAACTTTTCTTTAATTAGCAACTAATTTGGATTACCAACTCTCGTATGACTTGCTTACTCACCTTTATTTGATTTTTATCTAAAAACTAATTTTTCTACGTTTAAGTTACCAACTAATTTTAGATTGGTAACTTTTATTTGAGCTAATTATCAACATTTGTTTTTTTTTTTACTTAAATTATTAGCTTCTCCTATCTTTGACAAAAATACACAAAACTTGTATTTAATATAACTTTCTTTACCAACACTTTAAGCTTAGCCACTATTATATGAATTACAAACATTAATTCGATGACTTATCAACTTTATTTCCAATTGATGACCCAATTGAAAAGTTAGTAAATTCGAAAAAAAAAAAGCCCAAACAAATGTTGGTATCTAACTCAAAAGGAGTTGGTAAAGGAGAACTAGTTGATAATCTAATAGAAGAAAAGTTAATAAATAACTTAAATTTAAATTAGTCATTTGATATATTACCTGTTAGTTTGGTAAAAGATAAGAAAATTGGTGATTAAAAGAACAATATATTTGGTAATTAATTCAAATGAGAATTGATAACCCCAAAGTAAATGGTAACTTAATCAAATAAAAGTTGGTACGCCATTCTTATTAAAATTAATAATTTCATTTTAAAAAAACTGCTAAATTTAAGGCATTGTGAACAAGTATGTAAAGGATAAAAAATTTGACATATTTAAGAAAAATCAAATAAATGCCAATGTAACTGAAGTGAAATTGCTAACTGAATACTACATTGAAGTTTAATGGCCAAAAAGTTGGCGAGTCACACTAATATGGGTTGATAGTCTCTAAAAAGAATTGATCAAAGTAAATGATTGTTAACTGAGGTAAACAAAATTGGTAGCATAATAATAAAGTTGATAGATTAAAAAAAAATTGATAAGTAACTCAATGAGAGTTGCAGCCGATAAGTAGTTGGTAATTTAACATGAAAAAAGTTGATAAATCACTCTAATACGAACCGGTAATTTCATATAAAAGTTGGTAGATTTGAATCAATTGTGAGTAATGCAAATAAAAGTTAATAAACTAGTAAAATGTTTATTAACTTGCAGCTATAAAAAGAATAGTAATTCCCTAAAATGGTCGGTAAGTTGCCAATAAATTATCGAAAAAAAACGTGTCATTTTTTTAACGAACAATTTTTTGACACTTACAAAAACTTACAGAAAATTATTAGCCCCGAAAAAATCCTGAATTTGGACATGGATGAATAGAATTCTCCCTTACTACTACTAAGTAGTACAGTCGTGTACACTGTACATCATTATTGCATAATATTAGAACTAACATCATATCTCATACCAAGTACCAACTGAAATTACACTGCACTCTTCAAATACAAATAGGACTTTTGAGTTAAGACAGACAAATGCGATTTGGGTAAAGATTGCAGACCTCCATGCTCCAACACTCCCTTCACGCCATAGAGGAACAAGAAAGCAACTATATTCATCCCTGCTCAAATTCACACCTCATCATGGCTTCGCTTCAAGTAGAACAGATGAGTACGGAGCGATATTGTATGTGCTTCCTATGCCCGGTACACCTTTCGAGACAAAGTCATCGGGCGCTTCGAGGTTCGTGTCTACCTGCACGATTTAGATGCGAGAGTGTCTAATTACGCTGCTAAACATACCGGTTCATCATTTTGAATTCTTCCAGACAACAAGCATCAAACGACACTGATAGTAGTACTAACATTGATGGTAATATAGTGATAGAACTGAACGGACTGCCCTTTTCATTTTACAAATTTTCATAGAAAGGGCAGCAAGAGGAAACCGCCCTTGTATACAATCATTTCCAAGTAAAGTGTATCAAATATATTAAATAAAGCGTATTGAGACACGGAGTGAACTGAAAGATCAGCACCTGCCCCCAAGCAATTCTCACTGAATCGATACTGCAATCTTTATTTTTAAAGACCTAACATTTCCCTCCAAAAAATTTTGTACTTATTGTGACTTCTGTAAATTCTCTCTGTTTTTTTTTTCCTGGAAGAAAGTTTACACTAGGCAGAGCATCAATGAGTCACAAAGGATGTGAAAATAAAGTTGATAGTATGGAGGCAGAGAAAATGAAAACTCACCACACGAAACCAGCACCTATTCTTTGGTGGAGGCGGTATTGCAACTTTGACGAAAAAGTCATGAGCATTAAAGGCTATATAGATGTCTCCTCCATTTTTATCGTGAAGCCTATAGGTAAATTGTCAGAAAGTGCAACTATAATTTAAA